CCCTCATCATCGATGTTTCTATCTCTCTCTCCCTCTCCCTGAAATCGATAAAATATATATATATATATATATATATATATATATATATTGTTTACATATCTAAGTGCATGGTTCATATATGTTTTTGAAAGCGCATGCATGAAATTTGGAATCAGGAAAATCTTATTTTGAATCTTGACTTCTGCACATAGGCAGTGGCAACTTGAACAAAAGATTTCCTCAGCCAAGTCTCAGTTTCTTTATCTGTAAAATGGGGATAACAATGTCAGTAGCAAAGGGGTGGATGTGTGGATGAAAGGAGAGATCTCTTTTGTCTCTTATTGTGAATAACCCACACCACCAAATGATCTTGGTCTTCAGTCCTTTGCTTTTGACCCTAAACAATAACCCCAAACACTTCCCTGGTTATTCCTTCTCTGTAAATTAAAGCCCGCCAAAACACAGAAGGTTCACTTGTTAAATCTGGCATTCACTGACCCCTTGCATTAACTGCATGGATTGCCCTTTCTCACAGCAGCCTCATGAGGTAGGCTTATTGTTCTTGAGGGAAATGTTTTCCTACCATGCTGACCCACACTGAAAAAACTTGTCTTGTACAGTTAGAAGCTGAAGGATAACAGTGTTGTATAGGGTATATGTGGGAGAAAAGAAGGAGCCAGCAAGTTGGTTACCCAAGCTCTTGGCTAAGGAAGATGGAAGCAGAAACCCGTTTTATGCAAAGCAGGGATGATTGCTATCTGATGGGGTGCCCCAAAGTTCTCTTGCACTCCAGGAAAGAGACTCATATTCTGTAAAAACATACAGGTGCTGTGGAATTCTTTATAAATTTAATTTTGTTTTAAAATTACAGATGTAGCCCAGCTGGTGTGGCTCAGTGGCTGAGCATCGACCCATGCACCAAGAGGTCACCCGTCCGATTCCTGGTCAGGGCACATGCCCAGGTTGTGGACCCAATCCCCAATGGGGGGCATGCAGTAGGTGGCTAATCGATGTTCCCTCTCATTGATGTTTCTCTTTCTCTCCTCTCTCTTCCCCTCTCTCTCTAATATATCAATAATGAAAAAAGAAAAGATAAAATTATAGATGTATACATTCCAGAAAGTTTGGAGAAAAGAAAACAATAGAACCTATAAAACTCATCATCCCAAGAGAACACATCAACAGGCATAATGCCTAAGGCAGCTAGCTGAATAGTGTGAAGATTAGTGAACAGAAACCTCATTTAAATTGAATTTGGGAGGGCCTGTAGGGGGTGCTCTCACACCTTATCACTCACCTTCAGTTATCCCAAAACAGGAAGAAACTTACTTCCCATCTCCAACAGGAAGAAGGAGGAGGATCTTTTTCTTGCCTGGCAACCACTTAGCCAATGAAGGACTGTTGCAACTCAGCCAATGAAAAGTAATGGAACTACTAGTTTCCTCCAATGGCCTTGTTTACAACAGCACCTTTGAAATCCTCTTTTCTATGAAAAAAATTGTTCCTGTCCTTTATTCTCTGGACCTACTGTAATTCTCTATTAGATCACGAGTCCTGAATTGTAATTCTTTGTTGTTCCGGATAAACCCACTTTGCTGGAGAAATATCTGGCTATTTGTTTAAGGTTAATAGTACAGATGTGTTATCTTTGGCAAGGGTTCTGTCCCTCTAATTCTCATTTTCCTCATCTGCAAAATGGGTATAATGGTAATAGAAACCACTATACAGGGACTAGAAAAAAATTAAATGAGTTTTTAATTTCATATTTCAAATAGGCTTTAAAAAGACAGCATATATCAAGCACCTAGCATAAGCATGGCCCATCATAACTCCTCCATAAACAAATGTTAGCTCTTCTTTCCTCTTGTCCTTAGTGTTTGGTTGTTTCTACATGGCATTATTTTAAAACAGATAGAAATTGCACAGCTTTAGTTCAGGTCCAGGCTCAGACATTAACCAGATGTGTAACCTTGGGTTAGTTACTTAACTTCTCTAAAGCTCAGTGTCCTTGATAATCCCTACTTCGCAGGGCTGTTGTGAGGGTATTATGTAAAAATTCCAGCAGTGTGTGGCACATAGTAAGTACTTAATAAATATTGCTTATTGTCAATTTTGCTATACTGTCTTGAATCTTTTCCACCAGGAGGTTTTACCATAATCTATTGAGCTCTTCCATTCTTGTTGTTAGCAGTTTTCATTAGTATATAAACAACCCTGCAATGACATCTCAGTGCATTTTGGGGGAGGAGAGATTCCTTTTAACCACTAAGACCCTGGGCTGGAGGGTTGCCCATTGGCATTTGGATTTCTAAAAAAAACATATTTAAAAGTGAAAGTGAGGGAGTGGAAAAGTCTTTCAATCATTCCCAAACGTCCAGTCAGACTGGTGGGGCTCTGTTTCCCCAGAGGGGAGCTGGGGGTCTGCCTCCAGCGGAAGGACTGCCGCCCCAGCCTTCACAGGGAATGATGCTTCCTCTCAGGGCTTGTCCCAGAGACATTTCTATCTTTAAGTCATGGCTTTGGATCTGAGTCTTTTCCAGGCATTTCGCTCTGGTCTCCCCCACCTCCCATCTCTCGCTGGCCTCTGAGATGCCTGGCCACACTGGCAGAGCACTTTGCCAAGGCTCTCAGCTGTTCCTGGGTAGGGTCTGAGGAAGTGGATGACCAGAGGGCTGACCAGGACTGAGCTCCACAGGGACAAGCAACAAGCACAACCCTGAGCCAGTCCTTACCCTCTCAGCCTCAATTTCTGCAGCTGCGGAAAGGGTGCAGGATCATCTCCGAGGTTCCATTCAAAGGACTAAAGAGAAGGGCAGTCGAGAATCCTAAGGAAAACTACAGGTTCAGCCCCACCACTGACTCCCTGCTAACTGCTTGGAACTTTAACCCTCTAACAGGGACCTCGGACTGGAGGTATCCCCAATAAAACTGCCATCTCCTCCTCCCACATCTCAGCAAATGACAACTCTGTCTTTCCAGTTGTGAGACTAAACCTTGGAGTCACCCTGGAGTCCTCCTGTCTTACACCCACCATCTGTCAACAGTCTTGTTCAGAATTAGACCATCTCCCACCACCTCTAATCCTACCACCCAGGCTGAGCCACCATCCCCTCTCACTGGGTGATGGCTATAGCCTCCTGCCTGGTTTGGCTGCTTCTCCTTTACTAGGGTGACCAACTGTCCCTGTTTTCTCAGGACTGCAGGAGTGTCCGAGGCACCAAACTTTAAATGCTAAAGTTTGGAGTATCTCAGGCAAACTGACACAAGTTGGTTCCCCTGCCTTTATGGCATTACAGCTTCTTCTCAGTACAACAGCCTGAGGTTCCTTTTACATGTTTATGTTAGCTCTAACTTCCATATTACTGTCCCAAGCCTCTTAAATATTTTACTTTCATATTGATGCCCCAAGCATCTTATCCTTTAACCTTGCCCTAAGCCTCTCATTCCAGGAAACCAAATCACTCCAGTCAGGCGGAACCACCCTAACCCACCCTAAACTGGAAAGGTCCTGTCCGAGAGCCTGGGAACTGGCACCAGGCAAACTGCTCAGCCGTTACCTCGCTTACCCAACCTAAACTCCCTCCCTGTTTCAGGAACTGTTTGCCCCAAACTCATAGATCAACTCCTGTCCCATTCTCCTGTCCTAGTCCAGGAACTGTTCGCTCCGGGACAATAGACTCACATTCCAGGGGCCCCCATGCGTAGCCCCTCAGGACCTAACCTAACAACAAGTTCCCTCTGCCACAGGCGCAGATATAAAAATCACAAACCCCAGCATCGGGCGCGGCTTCTCGGACTCGACCCCCCGAGTCTGTGAACCCGCCCGGAGTGTACCCAATAAAGCCTGATTTCTGCTTATTCGGCTGTTTGGCTCTCTGGTTTCTTCCCACCTCCCACCGGCGGCACCTGGCTACCTTACAGGTCCCTCGACAAGAAAAACAAGTTTCAGGAGACCCCAGCCCCGACCAATCAATCAAGGTCAACCTCGACTCCTCGGCTGAACGACCACCCACCCCAGCCCTAAGTTTAAAAACCCTTAGTCTGGACGAACCTGTTGCTATTTTCTCTTTAGAGGTAGCCTGGCAGGTCTTTCTCTCAATAAACTTGCGCTCTTCTGGTTACTCAGCGCCGCCTCGTTCTTATGTGTCAGATCACATCACGGCTCTGCCTATAACCCCCTAGTGATTTCCATTTCACGCTGACTCCTTAAATTGTCTACAAGTTTATATATGAGCTACAAGTTTATATATGGGTGCTAGCCCCCAACCGCACCCCTGTGGTTCCCTGACCTCATCCACCACCCTCCTGGCCCACTCTGCTCTGGCCATGCTGGCTTCCTTGCTTGTCCTCACACACATCACCTGTGCATCCAGCTCAGGGTCTATGCACTGTCCATCCTCTCTTACTGGAATGTTCTTCTCCAGATGGCCACACGGCTCTTTCCCTCCTTGCCTCAGGTCTCTGCTCAAATGTCACTTTATTAGACAGCTCTTCTCTGGCCACCCCACAAGTATCCCCTCCCCAATCTCCCTTTATTCTGCTTTTTTGTTTTCCATAACACTTGTTGTCTCCTGGAATAGTATGTATTTGCATGTGTCTTTTGGGTTGTTTCTTCCCAGGTGAAGGGATGCTTTAGGGGGACTGGGGCTTTGTTTGTTTTCCTTTCATTTCTGGTTCCTAGAATAGCTCATGGTACATGGCAGGCCCTCCCCAACCAATATTTGTTCAGTAGATTCATGAATCTTCCTGCCACCTTCTCCCGCTACTAGCTGCATAGCTCTTATGTCTCGACAACTCTTAGCAAAGTCAGTGTGCCTCCCCTGGCCAGCTGTCCCCTTCACTTACAATCTTCAAGCTCAAACCACACCCCCACCACCCACTAAGCTCTCACCGGCCTCCCAGCCCAGCTCCCAGCTCCTATTTTTAGCAGCACTTCCAGCTTTCTGGGAGCAGCTTCTGGCAACCCCGATCCTGAGTTCATAGTACAAAACAAAGACATCACAGGCATTTGCAACGCCTACCTGGTCCAGCCTTGGTGACTCCCCAGTGGGCCAGGAAAATCAGCAGCTTGAGCAGCCTCATCCTCGGGGCTCACGTCACAGGAGACGTGGGGTTCTCCAGCAGCTATTTTTTGCAACTCAGGCTTCCTAACTAGGTCTCGGTGGCCACGTGCCACCTGCCTGAGCAGAGCTTCCTCTCCACCTGCCTGAACAGAGCTTCCTGTCCGGTTACCTGGTGTTTCCAGTTATTCAAGGCGTCTAGCTCTGGCTTTCCCTCCTTTGCCCAGAAGGGTGTGAGCTGGGTTTGCCCAAGGTGATGCTCCAGTGAGGCCTTTGGACTCTGAAGTAGAAAGTAGCACTTGTCCCACAGTTATAGGCTAGTAAGAAGCTTGGAAAATTCCAGGACAAGCAGAATAGGGAAATTAAGACAGATAGTTAAACAGCAGTTTGCAGCCACCTAGTAAATTCTATCTTCCCTGAACCAAGGACACTTATGAGTAAATGGTTTGCACTTCTCTTCAGTAACCAGAGGGTAAGTAGCTTACTAGCTTACATCACTGTACTTAGGGAGACAGATAACACAAATCCAATTAGTGCCATTCGCCAACTACACCCAAGGACAGACAAATTAAAAGAATAAATCTTGCCCTGGCCAGTTTGGCTCAGCGGTTAGAGCATCCGCCTGCGGTCCGGAGAGACCCGGGTACGGTTCCCGCTAAGGGCATGTACCTCGGTTGCAGTTTGGCCCTGGCCCTGGTTGGTCGTGCGGGTGGCAGCCACTCGATGTGTCCCTTTCACATCGATGTTTCCCTCTCTCTCTCTTCCTCTCTCTCCTTCCCACTCTGTCTGTACAAAGGATGGAAAAATGTCCTCGGGTGAGGAAAAAAAACAAAACAAAAAAGAATAAATCTCATTTTGGTACATCAGCATAAAGCTGATGAATAATATATTGATCCTCCCTTAGGACCTCCCCTAAAGGCCCAGCCTTGCCCTGGCTGGTTTGGCTCAGTGGTTAGAGCATTGGCCCGTGGACTAGGGAGACCTGGGTTAGGTTCCCACTAAGGGCATGTACCTCAGTTGCAGTTTGTCCCTAGCCTCAGTTGGGGTTGTGTGGGTGGCAACCACTTGATGTGTCTCTCTCACATCAATGTTTCTCTCTCTTCCTCCCTCTCTCCCTCCTGCTCTATCTGAAGATAAATGCAAAAATGTCTTCGGGTGAGGATAAAAATGGAAGGAAGGAAGGAAGGAAGGAAGGGAGGGAGGGAGGGAGGGAGGGAGGGAGGGAGGAAGGAAGGAAGGAAGGAAGGAAGGAAGGAAGGAAGGAAGGAAGGAAGGAAGGAAGGAAGGAAGGCCCAACCTTTAAAACCCCTGGAAAGGCCCAGCCGGTATGGCTCAGTGGTTGAGCATTGACCCATGCACCAAGAGGTCACTGGTTCAATTCCTGGTCAGGGCACATGCCCAGGTTGTGGGCCAAATCCCCAGTGGGGGGCATGCAGGAGGTGGCCAATCTATGTTCTCTCTCATTGATGTTTCTATCTCTCTCTCTCAAATCAATAAAGAAAAAAATATTAAAAAGAAAGAAGCACAAATATCTTTTTTAAAAACCCTGAAAAGGAAGGTCCCAGTGCTCTCTCCCCCAGGGACCATGCCCATCCCATTCCCTTGTCCCTCTCTCCCCCCAACAGGCACATATCTCCTAAACTCCAAGGGACTCCACGAGACTTGCAATCAGGGGAGCAATGGGCAGCGGCAGCTCATACTGGGCTAACCCTTGAACCTGTGTCCAAGGCCCCCTTTTCTCTGACTTCCCAGTGAGCCAAAGCAGCCCAGCCTAGGCTCTCCTGCTGCTGCTTCTGCACCCTTCCTCATTTCACTGTCCTAAGTGTGTCTTTGTTGCAGTCAATAAATTCTTGCTTACTTTTCTACTCTTTGTCTCTTGATTGAAATCTTTCCATCAAGAAGACAATGAGGTATCATCATCCTGCCGGAAACACAGCCAGTTCCTCAGGGCATGTCAGTCCAGCCAGCAACTGGATTCTCAAGTAAACTCACCCAACCCAGTCACTGAGAGGCGAATGTCATAAACTCGGAGTTTTTATGTTGCCTCATGCAGCAGAAAAAACAAGCCTGTGTAACATGTCTGGTCTTTGCCATCAAAGGAACTTAACTGCCAGTTGGGAATGAAGCTGCTCAACCACAAATGAACCAAGACTAAGAATCATCCATTCATTCATGCTGTGAAGACACGAATGGGAGACATGCAGTCCCTGCCCTCAAGGTGGGGAAGTAAATCACAGCACTGTATTTTAGCATGTTAGGTGGTTTAACAAGCCCAGAGGAGGGATCTCAGACTGAGAAGGTGACACAGGCTTAATCTCTTATTATTGAAAGTGTCTGGGATGAATGTTGTGGGGATGGGTGTGTTATAACTCAGTGCCATTGACCTAAACTCCCAGAGGCCTTCACAACAACTAAAGGGGTTGTCAGTTTACTCTTTTACTGAAGAACATTCTTCACTAACTAATCCCTAAGTAATCGCTAACCCTGGGGTAATAACTAACCCTTGAGTAATCCTGGGCGGCACCAGCGATAATCTATTGAAAACATCTTGACCTTTGAGATGTCTGGGAAACTGAGTAACAGGTAATTAACTAACTGCTAAATTCCGCTTCTGTAACATGCTTACTTACACGTAGCAACCCCCTTACAAAATCCTATAAAAAGGAGCCATTTTAGCTCTCCGGGGCCGCAATTACTCCTGTGTGGGACATACTGCAGGTGCCTGCGGACTTAGCTCAATAAACTCCTTTTATTAAACCCCATCTCGGCGTCTGAGTTTGGTCGATCTCCTGGGTTACAACAGGTGAAAAGGTGAAGGGATTAAGAAATGCAACCCAACTGGTGTGGCCCAGTGGTTGAGCATCGACCCATGCACAAGGAGGTCGCCAGTTCTATTCCCAGGTTGTGGGCCAAATCCCCAGTGGGGGGCATGCAGGAGGCGGCCAATCAATGTTCTCTCTCATCGATGTTTCTATCTCTTTCTCCCTCTCCCTTCCTCTCTCTCTAAAATCAATAAAAAGGGGAAAAAAAAGTTTTAAAAAGTGCTATAAAAAAAGAAATACAAATTGATTATTACAGAACAACCATGGGATGTAAAGTACAGCATAGGGAATACGTCAATGATATTCTAATAACTACATATGGTGTCAGATGGGTATGAGATTTATCGGGATGATCACTTTGTGAGTTGCATGATGTCTAATCACTGGGGTGTACACCTGAAACTAATATAATCGTATCCAAACTGTAATTGAAAAATAAAAAGTGATTTAAATTTTTAAAAAAGGAAGTGTCAAACATAAATAGGAGTAGGGACCGTTGTAATGAACCCCAGAGTACCTATCCTCCAGCTACAGCGGTTTTGAATTTACAGCCAATCTTACTTTATACCCTCATCCCCAGACCCTTGGATTTTACAGCAAATTGCAGAGATCATATCATTTTACCAATAAACACTTATTAGTATATATTGCTAAAAGATAAGGACTCTTTTTTCCTAACATAATGATAACACTATTACCAGACCTAAAAAAATAATAGTAATTCCTATCACCAGGTAGGTATGTAGTCAATGTTTACAGTTTCCCTGATGATCTTGAAAGGGGTGGGAAGAATTATAGAATAGAGAACTAATCATAGTTGTATACTAGCCTTAGTTATAAGAAATGTTAATCATCCTTTGATTGCTTTGTTCTGATTAAAGAAAAGCCCATTCCCACCTGGCTGGGAGGTGTGTGCCTCAGGAGTTTACCTCAGGAATGCTGTCCATTGTCCCAGTTTGAGGACAAGGAGGACTGCCTGACATCATAGAAAGATTAACAACCTGATCATCAAAACACTGGACCTGTGACTGTGACTCACTGGCGACCAGTCCTTGCAGTCCCCAGCCCACATCCATCCCCCGTTGCCTGTAACCATTTTATCCATTTTTTTTTTTTTTTTCCCTTTTTGCCTGACTGCCCTTTCTCACATAGTCATCATTTCTCTGCCCTTTAAAAGCAGCTGGCAGCCCTGGCCGGTTTTGCTCAGTGGTTAGAGTGTCAGCCTGTGGACCAAAGAGTCACAGGTTCAATTCCAGTCAAGGGCACATACCTTGGTTGCAGATTCAATCCCAGGCCCTGGTTGGGTTGTGCAGGAGGCAACCAATTGATGTTTCACTTTCTCTATTTCCCTCTCTCCCACTCTATCTGAAAATAAATGGATTTTAATTAATTAGTTAATTTAAAAAATAATAAAAGCAGCTGGCAAGTTGCAAGTGAGGGTGGGCAGAGCAGCTTTTACAGGATGACCCACTCATATGATTCGACCTTGTTTGGCTTAAGTAGTGACAGGTGGCCCAGACCCAGTCATTGTCTGGTTTCAATCTCATAATTATTTTATTTTATCCTCACCCGAGGATATTTTTCTTTTAAAATTTTTTCCCTTTATTGGTTTTAGGGAGAGCGGAAGTGAGAGGGAGAGAGAGATAAAAACATTGATGAGCGAGAACATCGATTGGCCGCCTCCTGCATGCCCCACAGTGGGGATCAGGCCCACAACCTGGGCATGTGTGTGTCCTGACCAGGAATTGAACTGGCAACCTCTTGGTGCATGGGTTGACACTCAACCATTGAGCCACACTAGCCAGATCCAAGGATATTTTTCCATTTATCTTCAGATAGAGTGGGAGGGAGAGAGAGAAACATTGATGTGAGAGAGACACATCGATTGGCTCCTCCCGCACGACCCTGACCAGAAGGCCGAGGACAAATTGCAACTGAGGTACGTGCCCTTGACCAGAATTGAACCTGTGACTCTTTGGTCCACTGACCAATGCTCTAACTGCTGAACCAAACTGGCCAGGCTACTTTTTTTTTAAATCCTTACCCAAGGATTTTTTTCCATTTGTCTTCAGAGAGAGTGGGAGGGAGGGAGAGAAACTTTGATGTGAGAGAGACACATCAATTGGTTGCCTCCCACACAACCCCAACCAGGGCTGGGGACCAATCCATAACCAAGGTATATGCCCTTGACTGGAATCGAACACTCGACTCTTTGGTCAGCAGGCCGATGCTCTAAGCACTGAACAAAACCAACCAGGGCTCAAAATTATTTTTAAAGCTGGTTTATTCAAATCAGGATTTAAGCCAAATCCACACATGGCATTTGGTTGGTGTGTCTCTTAAGTCTCTGTTAATTTGTAGACTTTTCCACCTCTGAAAGGGTTAGTAACGTTTTAAAGGGTAAAGGTAAAAACTTGCAAAAAGTGGAAACTGTAGAAAAATGTGTTGCTTGCATGACCTTTGTTCATCCTTCTGTTGAGTACGGATTAGCTAGATTATCCGCAAGACAGTGA